AGTTTTATCAAAATTATTATCAAGGTAATATCGTATGTAATAATTAGTGTGAAAAGTGAAAATTTTAATGAAAAAAGGTTTTACCTATTTTTATATGTAGGGTAACGTAATTGTAATATGGTATATTACAATAAGACTTTTTCACTATTTTCATCATATACATCAAATTATTCCATGAATTCAAAAGCAGAAAATTCAACTTTTATCAAAATTTTTTATTCAACATACGTAATTTACTTATGTGTTAAAAAAACAATATATATATATATATATATATATATAAAACAATCAATCAATTAATTAGTTTGAGAATTAAAAAATCAAATGTCAAATTTATTTTTCACTAACAATAATATTCAATCTTTTTTTTCATAAAATCATCAAAGAAACACATTTGAATGTCATTCAACTGTACATTTTAAAGTATGATATTAAATATTATATGCTTACAAAGTTTTTATTATACTTAACAAAGATTAGGATAGGATTTTTAAGAGCTTTCTTTGAAACTTTGCAATTTATTAGATAAACAAATTATATGTAAAAAAAACGTATGCACATACATATTATTATTATTATAATAAAATTAATTGAATACAATCTTTCAAGTATTTATTTTAATATTTTATTTAAATTAATATAAATAATTATTAAAGGAAAGTGGCCTTAAAACTTTGGATGTTTTTTAAATATTAGTTTTATTTGACATAAAATTATGGACCATTCCATTTTCGAGAGTTCTTACTCTCTGAGTTATTGAAAAGTAGACTATTATCTTATCGACATATTATTTTAACTGCATATTAAAAAATACTATTTTTAAATCTGAGTGAAAATGAATGGATTATATGAAGCACTATATTAAACTATCACTTAAGTATATTTTAATGAAATAGTTATAATTTATTGATTTATCAAATTCATCAAAATTTATTAAAGATTAATAGATTCGTTAAAATTATTTCATAAATTTTTGAACTAAAAAAATACTACACTACTAAAGTAATTTATTTTTTATTCAAAATAGGATGGCGTAATCATGCAGAATGAATCTACGTGTAAGTGAAATATTATTATGTAAAACTATGGTACTAACTGAAATTTATTTGTTTGTGCTTTACTATCTATTTTTATAAAAATAATATATAGTAATCAATTTTATTATCATAAAACATAATTATGAAAATGTTTTATTAACACGTATTAATAAATTTCCTTTTTAATCAAGACTCATCGATTCCGTTTATTATCATCACATTATCATTTATAAAATTTAGGTCAAGAAAAAATTTTATGTTGATTGAAATCTTATGTATACAATACTTATGATAAAAAAAAAATTAAATGATGATATGCATACTCTGACATTGCTTAAGTTTAATCTGAACGCGTTCGATGTATTCAGGATACTGTAATATGCATTAATCCTTCTTATACAAGCTCGATGAATGAAATACTCATTCATTTTTCAGTACATGCTAATTTCATTAAATGTTACTATTTTAAATGTTTATTTTATATTCATTATACTCAAGAAATTTTAATACAATACATCGATTAATTGCATATAACCATAAAAATTTAAGTGGATATTTTTTTCGATCTTTCTTCTTTTCTAATTTCTATTATTATATTATTGCTTTAATAAAGTATTGATATTTTCCTGTTGCAGTGGTGTAAATTTATGTCATGTCATCGAAATATACAGATATATAGAACGATAGATATATAGATAGATAGAAAGAGAGAGAGAGAGAGAGAGAGAGAGGTGTTAATTCTAAAATATTTCTAATTTATTTAATTTGTCAATAACATTTTTAATATTTAAAATAGGTTTTAAATAATATTAGATTAGGAGTAAATTCAATTTTTAACATATTTACATTTAATATATTCTTTTCATATGCATATTTTATTGTATAAATGAAAAAACTGCCATTTTAATAAAAATCAATCGCCATCATAATAAAATGTCAATTAATAAAATAAATATATTTACCAAAAAATCTTCTATTTCAAGATATTCTAGTGTGTAAACTCTTTATTTTAATTTTGAAAATTAAAAAAAAAATTAAGCATAAAAAAAGATACATAAATGCCAAACTTTAAAGTGGAATCACATTTTATTTACATATAAAGTTATCCATACATATATGTATGAACAAATTTTGTAATTTGCACACGGATGATTTTATTTTGTTTTTGTCTTGAGCTCTTATATTATTTTCAGTTTTATAGATGCAAACTTCGATTTTTCATTACAAAAAAAATATTTTACAATCCTTCAGAAATAAATTTCATTTAATAAATATTTATACAGCTTAAATATTATACTAGCATTTAATATTTTAAATAATAGTAGATAGATAATTCAAATATTCTTCTATTAGAGAATTTAATAAAATTTGAAGAAATACAATATAATTGAATAAGTTTAAACTCATTTTTCATAATACCAAATTGAAATATTTTTAATAATGCTAAATATATTGATAATAATATTTTTTATATAGCATCATTATACATAACATTTTTTCAAAGCAAATAAAAAAATATTTATTTCACTGCTTTATATTAAGTTACTGGTATATATCAATCATGGTTTGATTAATATAATATCAAAAATAACATTTTATATTACAAATAAACATTCTTTTTACTTTATTTTGTAAATTATTTCTAAGTTATTTGAACATATTATGCATTCTTATATAACATTCTGAATTTTAAACTACGGCTTACGAGAATCATTTTTAAACTAATCATTTTTAAAGCTACAGTGTATGTTGTAAAAATAATAAAAAGATTCGATCAGCTATGTATTTATTAAGCAAAATATAGATTTATTATTTTACTATGCATGAGTTTAAAATAACATACTATTGATTTATATATATATATATATGTAATGATGGAAGGGAAGGGTGTGAAAAATTGAAAGTGAAAAAAATAATTGGGAGAAAATTTTATATAAGATCAGATTAAAGTGTACACGGTTCATCCCAGGTGTATTGGGATGATCAGTAAGATCTTAACAGATAAGCTCCGAGTTCGTGATCAGACAGAAAATAGAAAACTCCCTTATAAGCTGACTTTCACTTTACTAGTCGCTTGTAAACAGCACTTGTAAAGATACAAAACAAAACTATTGTTATATAATAATTGTAGCCGTGCTAGTGAGTCTCATATACTATTTACCATCCGTGTACAAATTTGTATCTTGTACACAGTAATTTACACAGTTATTTTATCAAACAATATCCATTGACGTGATTATCAAGAAAATAATTATTATGGAGAAATATATTTACCTAAATGTTCTTTCAAATCAAAGGGCTAATAGAACTAACTAGCGAGAATCAAAAATTTATTAAGAGTGTATAATATTATTTCTTAGTGTACATATATGTAAATAATAATTTATAGATTAATCAGCATTGGGTTATGCTATCCAATTTTTAAAGAACAGAAATATCTTAAAAATAAATAACTTTATCCTTGGCATAGTAAAATCATACTGTAATATATTATTCATCAATTCATGAATACAATTAATTAATTCATCAAGGTAAATAAATAAGTATTCAAATGCCCAGGTACATTCAACGTACGTACGGACATATGCACGAACAAACATTAAAAATTATTTAAATAAGTAAATGGCTATGTCTGGAATTAAAATGTATCAAGGACAAAAACGGTGGAATTTATTTGAATAATCTATCAACAATTCTTATGCAGTACACCTCTGTAATCTACCATTAATTTCATTAATAAGCGACTGCTAATGTTATGGTTAATTTATAAAGGAGACTATTCCTGACTGTCTCATTAAATTTACGTCGGAGCTGATCGACGAGTCTAATAAATCAATGTGGGATAAAATGTATGTCCAACTTCAATCAAAATCTCTATTGATTATCTTTCAATTATACAACAATTTTTATGTATGTTGTACTTCTCGGCGTAATTTAGAAATTTGCTTCCCGAGCAATTTTAAAACCATAAATTTATAACATGTATTTTTATTTAAATTTATTATAAGTGATATAGCATAATTAAATTAACATTTTTAACTTATATATAAATATAAAGTAACTTTAATGTTGTGAGTAACGGAAAATAAGTGAATGAAAAGTGTAAATAATACTTATAAAAAATATAATAATATTGTATTAATAATAATAAAATTTAAAAGTCATGCTTAATTAATTTTAAATCTATCACATATTTAATATTCATAGTATTTTATTAATATTCATGGCATAAATTTATTGATAATTTAATCAATGCACTCTAACTGATTTTTTTTTTAATATAGTACAAATTTTATATAGTACAAAACTTATTAGAATGTTATATTTACTGCCATGCTAATACTCTGATACTTAGTAAAACAGATATTTAAGAATGTAAAGATGATTATATGAATAAATCATGTATTATTATTGAATATATTTTTCGATATATTTAATTTCACTGATACAATAAATATACAAGATTACAAAAAGAACTTTAAAACTATATACAAAATTTATGAATAAAAAAATAATTTGTAGGTATCTTGCATTAAAAAAGCTAATAATTAAATTTACAATATCCTTATTAAAATAATAAGGATATTTTAATATCTTAGAAATAAAATATATTACATAATAATAATGGTTAACATTTTCTGATTAAATCACAAAAATAATTTATTATTTATTAAATCATTTCTACTATATTTATATACAGTAATTGTATATAAACACATAGGTAAGATGTATTGCAGAAAATTTACTTTAAAATAATTTCTAAAAAAAACATTTATTTAATAATCTACTTAAATATTTATTGTTAAAGAACCAATGTTTACAGTGCCCGGCGAATTAAAATTCCTTAATCGAAATTATTCACATTGAATTCTTAATTTATAAATGCATAATATTATATTTACGTCTGACTTCCTAATGTCATGTATTATGTAAATGCCTAAAATTTATCCTGTCATGTTTCAGTCCGCAAGGAGAACGAAGAGTTACTGAATTCCTTAAATCGAGACGTAGCGACGCCTGAAAATATAACAACGTTGTCATTCTAAGAGGCAAAAGGGAAACTACACAGGAAAATTGTTGCGGAATAAATAAGCTTAAAAAATAAACACTGACTATGATTGATGAATAAAAGTATTAATGGATAATCTCTACTTATCTCCTATTGCATTCAATGAAAATAATAGTCGCTAAAACATGAAAATTCCAATCAAAAACTTAATTTTCATTTCCAAAATAAACATAATGTAAGTGTTATATCATTAATATGAAAACATTTTCATTTAAAAAAAAATATTGATCACGATAACTTAATTATTAGATTTATTTTTATAATTTATTTTATTTTTTAATTTAATGGACTAAAAATGTTTTTTTGTTAACTTTTTCATTATATAAATATCATTTCATTTTCATTTGAGGAGCTTTTAAATAATGAATTTCAATGCATTAAGATTTAACCGACCAACCAATTTGAAAAACTAATGGTAGAATTATCGTAACTAATTTAAATGTATCACATAAAAGTAAAAATTATTAATATCAGAAACATACATAATTTAAATTCCAAAATATAAAAATATATTAAATATATGCGACTGTTGAAATAATTATATATTAGAAAATTGAATTTAAAATATTTATCAATTCACATAAAAATAATTATGGTTCAGAAATGAAGGAAAGTACATTTAACAGTAGGCAATATTATCTTTCGTTATTAATTTTATAGAATTTTGTTCAAAAAATTTCTATTTAATTATATTTTTATCAATGCATATTTAATATTGATTATTCTGATTCTTAATTATATGATTTTTGTATCATAAAAATATTATTTTATACTTATAATACTCATTATTAGTTCACCAAATACTTATTAAATACTTACAATTTATTTTTTAGCTCAATAAATGCATAAGAGTGAGATATATATGTATAAAAATTTAGCGCTATAAAGTTAAAAATAACTATCTTTTATTTAATTAATATACAGTAACCATGAATAAATTATTAATTTAATTTTCATTTAAATAATTATAAACACTTTATATTTATTTAAGTTTTGAAAATATTATTTAAACATAAAAATATTAAAATACTCAAATAAAATTTATTTGATAATAACGTATTATTTGACCAAAATATTGAAGCACTGGTACTTCTTTTATACAGCAATATCATATAATAAATAATAACGATTTAAATTGAAGTATTAATTGTTTTAATAATTTCATTATTATATAATTTCAATTTTGCATTGCTCCAATTTGATTCTTTTTAATATTATATTGTTGTATTTTTTCTGTATTCACATTTATTTATATCTTACGTAAATTTATAAATCGCCAAAAAATATTTTTTTCTACGCGTAAGAAACGCAATTTCAATGTTTCTTTATTTAATTAATAATTGTAATACATAAACAATGTTTAAATTATTCAATTTGTAAATAAATACGTCCAACGGTTATACAATGTTAATACATGAGATTATAATTATTTTTGTATGTGAATTAAAACAAATTATTATCTAAAACTCACAATTTCTTACGACATTGTAATTTATTATTGAGTAAATAAATATGTGAATACAATGTTAAAATAATTTTTAAACATAAATTTATGATTATAAAATTATTTTACAAAGTTGTTATTTATAATATTACTAATACCGTGCTATTTTTACTCATTTCGTATAAAAACATCATAGTTTTATATTGATGCGTATTCATTTACATTTGAATAAAATAATATTTATAATATATAATACGTTTTAACAAATAGAATTTATAAATGACAGGGGCAATATGCATATATGTTTATAACGTAAATAATAATAAAACTCATATAAATGTTATAAATTGAGGATTATGTAAAATTTTCTTTAGTTTCAAAGTATTAAAAAGCTTCTTATCCAAAATTGTAATATTGAATCATATATTAAGGATTATTTTTATTAAAATAGGGTAATGTTCAATTATTTTTCTATAAAAATTCTAAACAATATCTTGAACTAATAGCTTATTATTATTGCAAGTGATACCTTATTAATTTAACGATTATTTCAATTTAATTGATATAATGTTTCAAATGAATGTCTATTTTAGTTTAACGACATCAGAATTGTATGTTATTTACTAAAAATATAAACGTTGTATAAGAAACAACTTTGCAACGAAAGAAAAACTTAACAGTCGATTTCATAACTGTATAAGACAGTTGGGGTAAATTCCATAACCATGTCGTACCTGCCCAAAAATAACAATTACATCTTGCGACGATCCCAATTAAAAGAATCTTGTTTGCAACAAGAATTCGGTTTGCTTAAAATATAAATAAAAATAGTGTAATCAGAAAAAGTTCATTGTTATAATGAAATGGGAATGAAACTTGATCTCAACTCTCATGTTAAAGTCATTTGGTAATACAGAGAACATGATAAATAATTTTGATTTAGATATTTAAAGAATAGAGTTATTGAAAAGTTTCTTAATTTTTCACTCAACATATATTATTCAATGAATTTGAAAAAGAAGCATTGAAAATGTACTAACTTTTTATAAGCCTTCCAGATTAAATGCTTATAGATTTTGTCATTGATCTGACAAACACGCATTCGACAACGAAAGAACTTAACAATTTAGAAATTTACCTCTTACTCTTAACTGCATCCATGTATAAATGAATGTGTGTGAACGCCTATTGTTTATGCGTTTACGTGTACATGATTTACTAACTTTCTGTCTAAAATGTTATCTGAATTGGATATATGAATTTGAATGTATTATTTAGATACTAAAGATTTACTTCAATTAATTATTCATTTTCAATTTCAACGAATAAATTAATCATTAAATAAAATAAAACTATTAGAAATATCGTTAATTTCTTATTTTAAAAATTTGATAATGTTTTAATATCAGTATTGTTCAAATTTATGCAGAATGTGTATAAGTAAATATACAAAAATATTACTAAATGTATGAAATTAAATGCCTAGTATCTTTTATATTTTTAATTTTTATAAGCTGAAATTTGTATTTTTCAGATAATTAAAAGTCTATTGGATGAATTTGTATTATTTAACTATTTTAGAAATTATTTCTTATTGATACATATATTACTAAATATAATAAAACTTATGAAATAGAGTTGAATTAATTTTTCATTGTTCATTACGCTCAAGAATAAATATTTGATTATTTCTATATTTTATTTGAATAATACAAATTATTCATATGTATATATGCATAAGTCATATTTGAAATATAATATTATGTAACTATTTATGAAAGCCCAAATACTCACAGGAAAACTTATACAAATATTGTTATATAAATACAAACAATGAAAAAAAGAAAATAAATTTATTATTGATATAAAAAATGTTATCCGAAATTGAAATTAAATTAAAATGATGCGTAGAGATCAGAAATTATGGGTGTCGTGCTGATAATAAATACTATTGTAGATTAATTGCGATTGATTCTACATAAATATTATGTAATTATCAGACGTAGATGTTTTGTGCCAAAGAAGTGCATAAATTATAAGTGATATACGTTGATGTTATCTAATAAAATAAGATATGTGTATAGAAGAGCATTATAATTATGAGTAAAATTTGGTGCAAAATTAAAAGTCAACTTATTTTCATTCTAATCAATGACATTTAATTATTTGTTTTTTTTTAATTGATTTTCAAATTTTTCAAAATTTCAAAAATCAAATAATTGATTCTTATTTAATGATATTTTCAATTGATTATTTTAAAGCACTTTAAAACTTTCCTTTTTCTATACTATTTTAGACTGAAGAAATTATTTTTAGCTTCTTAGTAAATGTAATTATAATGTAGATAAAATACATATATAGAATTACGTATTATATAAACGTAATAAAATGTTGCGATTACTATAAAGATTTTATTTTTAACTTACTATCAACTGTTAAAGTTGCGATATAAATTGAATACATTGTCTTAGTATATGAGTAACAAATCAGTTTTTTTTAATAAAATCAAAAGAATGAATCAATAGACATAATTTATTTATTTCTTAAACAACTTAGTTATAGGTGTATATCCTCGATATACACTTATATATTTTCCTGACTTTTTTATGATCCATTTATAACCCGTTCTTCACTTTTAATACTTCTATTCATTGTGTAATGTAGTAGTGTTGATAAACAAGGCGAACACTATATCTAGTTAATAAATGAATGCACATATATAATTATCATTATAAAGCATAATATCGTACATACATTCAATTCATAAAGAACGCTATTAGACTAGTAAGCACGGCTAGTTGAAGGCACATGTATAATAAGTGAGGGTGACGCACTTTCAATTGGTTTCCATTATTTAAGCCAAACATTCTTGAAAATGCTGATTAGTCATTATAGTACCAATTGGAATTTCATCTTCATATTAAGTCCAGATATCATTCTTCATTTCTATTCCTCTTACTTACAAAATTTTATTTATCTGCATCAGCTAAATTCAGTTACTTTATTTCATTGATAAAATGAAATTAATAAAATGTCTATTTTGAAACTGAAATTTCGTATAAGTAAATTGAAACCGATTATATTATAATTGAAGAACCGACTATTCATTATAAATCATTTTTCATTCTATATCAATTCACTAATTCAAAGGAGTTGGACATGTATAGTATGATGATGTAATAGTTCTGTTACCTATAATATATAGAAATTTTATAAATTCACTTAATCATCCTCATTTGTTACTATGTAACAAAAGTTTGAGTTTCTTTAAACTTTGTATGGTTTTTATAGATTCAAATAAAATGTTTAAAGTAATTTTAATTTGTATTTAAGGTCTATTCAAGTTTAAATTTTTTAATACAAATAGTGAATTTTATCCGATTTCTTTTTTTTAAATAATAAACCTAACGAAGAATTAATATTTATACATTAAATTGAAATATCTAATGGAAAAAAGTTATAATATTTAAAATAAAAGAATTTATGAAATTATCGAACATCATAAAATTTGACAATTTGTACATTTATCTAATAGATCTTGAAACAAAACCGAAGATATCATTTTATAAGATTTTTAAATGCGGTGTCAACTCAAAATTTTTTAATTAAAAGTTCCTCTTTTCTAATTCAGTAATCTTATTTAAAATTTAAATTATTTAATTTAAAATATAATATCAGCAATTTTATAAAATGTCATTTAAATTATAATCATTTTAGATATTATGTACTGCGAAATAACTTAATTTAATTTAAGTGATGGGATTTAATCATTACCCGATAAAAATATTTTTATGATTTTAAATCAATTTAGAAATCCACTTACTAAAATGTATATTTCTACATTTCATATAAAATGAGATATTTCATAAATAAAAAATTGCTCGTTTAATTAATACATTTTACTATCAAATAATGAATGATGAATTTTTTGAATCTAATGTAAACAATATTGAAACTCATTCATTATGCTTTGCTCGATATTATTTAACAAGAAAACTAAAAGAAAACAGCTGTCCATCGTTTGTTTTCATCAAGAAATTTCATTACGACCTCCGGTAGCTCAGCTTCACCTCATTATCACTCCATATGTACAAGAAGCAGTAATCTATAAAGACCTATTTTATATTTCAAAAATAATGTTTTCATTTGTTACTTGAAATTTGATAAATATTTACAGTTAAATGATGTTATTTATGAAATTCTAACATAAGTTGCGGTAATATTCTTTTAGGACTCGTACTGTGAGCATCTATTAAATATAAATATGGGTACATTGAGGAATAGTTACTATTTTTCCGATTAAACGTTCATGGCTAATAATTATATACGCTGTTAACATTTGATTGATATTACTAAGATTATTATTAAACTGGCCTCTCATTAATTTCACCTCGTCAATGTTACCGAATTCACTTATACGCGTTCATTTATTGTAATAATGAGTATCTTTGTATTAGCATGGAAAAATCACAAGAATTTTTCTTAAACATATCGACAGCTTCGATTAACATTAAATCAAGAATTGTTTTTAGATTGAAGTAAACTTTAGTATACTATTCCTATCATCACTGTTTGTACAATTTTTGGATACAAACTTATTACAATGTTTATATCCAATCTATACACTAATATGCATATCATATGAGTTTTTTAAATTCCTAAATAAATTACATTAAATGTTATTCAATTTGCAAAAATATTTTAAATAAATATCATTTTTATAAATGATTAAAATATTATTTTTATAAATAATAATGATTAAAGTATTATTTTTATAAATAATAAAAATGAGTCAATTTAACTTATGCAAATAAAATTAGTATATAATTAAATTAGTTTTCTTATAACTCATACACATAAATTAGAAAAAATTGTAAATTCACTCATTGAAATATAAAAGCTTATAGTTTATCCAGAGACATTCCTATTAAGTAACAATTGAATGAAAAAGTTTATAAAAAGTATTTTCATCCAGAAACTTCTTAAAAAAAAATTGTTAAAGCAAATGGAAAAAATAATTACTTTCGATTTACATTATTAATTACGTTCTCTCATTTAAAAATTTATACTTTTATAAGTAAGAATGAATTACAATAGTAATTTATAGGTAATTTAAATTTAACTTTGAACACATTTAAATGCGTTACAGAAAAATTTGTAAATATTATTTAAATATTTAACAAATATGAGTTTTCCACCTAATAAAAAATACTGATTTGTCTTTCAATTATTATCCTACCTCATACCTTTTTAAAAATATTTTAATAAAATTAATTAATCATCACATATACATGCTAAATGTATAAGTGTTAAATGTATAAGAAATGTACAAGTATTATGAATAATATCAAGAGTAAAATATTAAAATAAAATGTAAGGAGCACTGTTATAAGAAAAAATAGAGATAAAATTGTAATTGGATTGAGTATAATTGAAGTAATATATATATATATATATATATATATATATATATATATATATATATTTATTTATTTATGTATTTAAGCACGCGAGTTTAAGAAGGTAATGTAATGTGTCTAAATATTATACACTGGTCTGTATTTTATAAAATATATGGACATATATTATTCTAAAGGTAAAGCAACTTCATCTTCAATTTCAGTGTTGATTTTTTCTTCTTTAATGTATAAATTGTGATTAATTTTAAATTTTTCATTTGATGGAGGACATATTACTCGAATTCTGAAAGAAAAAATAAAATAAAATATCAAGCAACTATAAGAGCATAAAAATAATCTAATATACCTTGTAATAAAACTGCCAGATCTCTTTGGTTTTGATAGCATCAGATTGTCTATAATTATTTTCATGTTTTCTTCTAAATGATTAATATCCATGTCCAACTAAAACTCAATAAATTTCATATAATTTTCTAATTAAATATTAAATCAATTGAATTATTTATATATTTATCAGTAACTAAATCATATAACAAGAGAATGTCCATTACAACATCTTAATAAGAGATAGGGAAAACCAAATATTTTTCAAATACAAACAACTTAAAATTTATATGACAGAAATATTAATACTGATAATTATTTAATTATTAAGTATATTGATAATTTTCAATTAAATCTTGAAACTTACAGTTCCTATAGAAACAGTCGAATAACCATATTCTGGAAAGTCTTTATAGGTTTTGACAGAACATGTTACAGAATTAAGTTGATGGTTTAACAACTTCAATGTATTTCCTCCCAACGTTTCTAAAAAATATTTTTTAGCCATTTAAATTAAAATCATTAATTTGGAATAAGAATACTTTTTTAAATCAATTTTTTTTGCTAAAAATATATCCATTTAATATTTTTAATGATAATAAATAAATTATTCAAATTTTTATAATTTTATATTGTACTAATTACTATTTTCTATTTAATTAATTTTTTTTTCAACTAGTAGTGGGGGTATAGTTATTTTATATTGAAAATGATAATTACTAATGAAATTATTTTTTAATAAAATATGATTTTTCATAGTATATTCTAATAGTTCATATAGTTTATAATGTATTTTTATGGTAATATAAAAGTATTCTAACCTGCTTTTAAAGTTGGAATTTTCTTTTTTAGTAAGCCTCTGATTGTTAATATTTCCGGCATTAATTTTACATTTGCGATAACTATGTCAAAGTTATCTAATGATATGCTTCCACTCTGAACAAAGTATTTTTCATATTGTTATTTACATTAAAAAATTATAAAATTTGTCAAAAAATATATTCTGATTTTTAATAATAAAGATTTAATAAAGATTCGTAATAATATATTACCATGATATCTTTTACTATATTTGTTCCACCAGCATGAAGAGCACCTGCAGCTTCAAGTGCTGCCTCTTCTTCTGGAGGGCAGATCGCTAAGATTCTTCTTTCTTCACCATGATCAAATTTGTGTTTAATATTAAGTAATTTTTTAAAAGGTTCTACAGGTTTTGTTTTCTTTACACCCTAGATCAAATTAAGAGTTTATTATAGCATTATGTTACTAAATGCTTCATGAAATTTGATATAATTATATTTAATAATATGAGACATTAATTTTAGAAATATTAAAATAAAATTTGAATATACTTTAATTACAAACAAACCTTCATATTAAATTCAATAAGAAGTTGTACATAAGGATCTTTATAATCATACATGGTTGGATGAAAAAATTCACGATGATTTAAAATAGCTTCCGAAAATGGATATATATTCCATTTAAAAATTCGACCTAGATAAACATCATCTGTCGGTGCAGGTTTGCTTTCATCAAAATATCGTAGGGCATCAGGTTTTATTACTTGAACAACTTTACTAAAATATAAATAATTAATAATTTATATAATTATAAAATATTCATCATATATTTTTTGTGGAATAAAATTATCTTAAATTTTGGTCCTTGTAACAAAAAGTTCAAGATAAAATTTCTTATTTATATAACTTATAACAAAAGTTATACATTTAAACAAACAAATAAATATTATTGCAAATAAAAAATTTAAAAAATAATTTACTTTTAAATATAATATAATGATTATATACATGAGTATTTATTATAAAAATTTTTTCTTTGCATTTTAATTACATTTTTCATTATACTAAATTACAATTATATGTTGTAGTTTTATCAGTGTATTTAGATATTTAAAAGCATAATTATTAAAATGATTAAGAGTTTGAATAAATAATTGCCTATTAAATTGATTTCAAATTGAAATATTACTTTTTTTTGGATTTTTGTATTTTGTCGGCCAATGTCAGTTTTTTCATTATTGTTAATGATTTCTTTTTTCTTGCTTTTTCTCTGGTACTTTTTCTGGCTGCATAATGTCGAACTTGTGATAATCCAGAAAGTATACAAGTTGATAAGTTATATCTATGAATGAAATTTATACTGTTATGTATGATTCCTAAAAGAAATTAAAAAATTTAAATTAGCCATTAATGTATAGACACTTTATTTAAGTTATAAACTTTTATTTTTTCGTTTTATGTAATATTTAAGAATTAGAAATGTCAATGTATAAATTAGTACATAAATATTTAATCGAACAATATTTATTCAATACAGATGCCATATTCGAAAATTACAAGTAATTTTCAATTAAATAACGGTTATGAGAAGTAGTGTTAAATAATTATTTACTAATAGAATGCAATAAATTTTCTCTATTCTGTAATATATGTTTGTTTTTGCATAAAATATTCTTACCGCGGTTAATATATTTAAGAATAAATAAAAGTCATTTTACAATTATTTTATATCTCGTTTCATGAAATGTATTTTTTTGTTACAAAATAAATGTTTACTGAAGTTTGACATGCTTTATAATTATATTATAGAAATTGATAAGGTTATGGTACCACAATATATTGGTTAAAAATTTTACTTCGTGACTTTGTGGCTTTAATAAGTCTCATAAATACGAAAAAAATAGTAAAATACATAAAGATTTATATAAAAGTTTTTTAGATCAATAAGAGTTATTAGTAACATTTAATATTAAACCAGCATATAAAGTAAAACCTACTTGTAGCGGATGCCATTTTATTCTTCAAATGTGTTTTTGAAATAATGACTAGGAATTGGCGACGTCCTTAAAATCTTAAATTGATTCTACAATTTAATTTCCTATTTAAAATAAAAATTACTTTCATTTCTAGACTAATACAAACTTGCATGCGAAGACTTGTTAAAGATTAAAATCCTTTTAACGTTTGAATTGCGATAATTAAATAACAATATTCTATTTTGTATTTGTGTTTAAAATAGAATTGAAATTTATTGCGCTATAACTAACAGCTTTATTGTAGTTGCATTTTTGCCTGAAAATTCGATGTTTCATAAACAATAGTTGCACCAAATTACAGTATAATTGTTTATTTTATTGATATTCAAACTTGTATATATTATTATGTAATTTGTATAAGCAACAGACTTATTATAAAGTTGCCAATCACAAATAATTAAGTAATTGTTTAAAGATGATTTACACTCGTATTTTTTATTTTATGTCGTTGAAGTCAATAACACAGTGCTCGCTTATGACGTAGATTGCAAACATTTTGTTTGTCCGTAGAATTGTCCGATACGTGTACGTACTTCAGCCGTTAATTAATTCGAAAAAATAGCCGTCTGAAATTCAATATAAAGCCAGTTTGAGTGTTCCCCTTCATCAGCCATTGAAAGGCTCTGTAATTACAATGAAAATTTGTCAGGCAGAAAAGGTCCCCGAGGTCACTAGCAATATCAATCCGCTGCCTGCTCTTCGCATTAAACCAACAATTTCTCCGACAATCAGTAAATTTATCAAGTTCGGCCAACAGGAAAGCCCTGGACCTCCACCTATCTGCGGCTCCTCGCGCCAGGCTTGCGTATACATCCCCCAAGCCCAGGATACTCGAGGACGAGGTGCCCCGTGTGCCCCCCCCCCCTTCGCAACTTTAATTTGCAGCTGGCGGGCATCGGTCCATTGGCTGGGACTGAGTCGAGGTTGGCGTCAAGCTGACCGTCAGCGGCGACCCGATCACTGCCAAAACACACAGAGAAGAGTCAGAGACAAAGAGAGAGATAGAGAATA